CTCTCAATTCTCAAAACTTGGAAATAGTTCTTTTACTATCTCAAGGTTTCAAATTGATCCAACTTGATCTCCAAAGCATATAAAATACATCCAATATCAATTTTAGACCATAAGAAAATTTTCAATATTTCCCCTACTTTTGCCCTTATGGCCGAATACTCCAATAATCTAGGGCTTGATTTCCATTCAATTTCAAGCATGAATTCAACTTCGTTACATCAAATTCATGCTATTTTTATAATCATAACATCAAATTCAATCAAATTCAATCAAATATTAATAAACCCTACTATGGTCGAATGCTACATAAGCTTCTACACATAATTTTAATCATCACTCAAGCTTTAGAATTAATCTATAACATAATAATCTTCCATCAAATCTTCAAAATCAATAAATCCTTCATAAACCATAACCTTCAATCTCATCATATAAGCATGTTCACCATGTAATATTTATGCCAAATGATAGAGAATTTCATGTAGATTAATTCATTATCTAATACCTAATCCAAAATCAAGTATGTAGCATCTAAAATCAAAATAAAATTTTACCTTAGAGCTATGGTGAATTCGGCCAAGAGGATGAAGATGAGAAAATTTCTTAATTTATATAATTATCATCCTTACACATGACCTTAATATAATTTAATTTAATTTAAAATTCAATTAATGAGAAATCCCAGAATTACCATTAATGAATCTTGATAAATACTTGATGTCATTGCAATATCTTCCATTAAAATATTCCTTATTCAAAGATGAACCAATTTGGCTTTGATTTTCTACTTTGGACACCAAACTTTCAAAACTTATGTTTTAGTTACTAACTAAAATTTGGGGTATTACAACTGCAGCATCCGGAACCATACGAAATTCAATGGCTTAATGATGATGTGATCACCATTACTCAACAAGTATTAGTCCCATTTTCCATTGGGAATTATGAGGACGAGGTGCTTTGTGATGTAGTCCCGATGAGCACAACTCATTTGCTATTTGGGAGACCGTGGCAATTCGATAAAAGGGCCACTCATGATGGTTTCTTAAATCATTATTCATTCATCCATGGGAGAAGAAGTGTCACGATAGTACCAATGCCATCACACCAAGTGCTTAAAGATTAAAAAAACATAAAGTCTAGCTTTGAAGCTATGCAAGACGAGCCTTGTGAGAAAATAGAGGCATTTGGAGTTAAAAAATAGATTTTATGTGAGAAAATCATTGGAGCGATTGAAAATGAAAATGAAAGCATTGAAAAGATTGAGAGTGAGCATATTGAAAAGCATGAGTGTGAGAGTGGAATTTAGAAAGAGAAAGATTATAAAGAGAACATTCAAGAGGAGTGTGAGATTGAAGAGAAAATTCAAAACAAGCATGAGAGTAAGAAAGAAGAATGTGAGAAGAATGAAGTTTTGCTTTCTATTAATCCATCTTTTCTTCTCTTCTCTTTTGATTTGCAGGTGATTCCAAGAGATATACAAGATGAATCAAGCAACATATCTTCTGAAATTCCAAAAGATGTGTTCCTTTAGATTACAAAAGACATATTCATGAACCTTCTAAGTCCATGCACCTCATATTCCAAATTCAATGAACTTTATGGAAGGGAAGTTTCAATGAACCAAATTCTATTCATGAACCTTAATAAATCTTATATGTTCATTCAATTTGACAATGATGTTTCATGTTCTAACTTAATTCTATTTTGTAGCACATTGAATCTGTTAGTTGACTTACCATCTTAAGTTGTCTATATTTTATATTGACAGATTTATATTGGAACTACTGTGAAGTTCAATGGTAGAAATTACGCTTTTTGGTTGCAAACGTTTGTACCTTCCTTGGTTCTCAAGGACGTGATCATCACTTTGTTAAAATGATGACAGACACCAAAGATTCCAAATATACAGATTGGCTTCAATATGATTGCACTGTGAAAACGTGGTTGTTGAATTCTTTGGAACCAGAGATTGCTACCTCCATTGGGTTGGTTTTAACTACTGAGGAGATGTGGGATTCCATCAACGAGATATTTTCAAATGATGGTAACAATTCTCAGATTTTTTCTTTGTTTCAATAACTTGTGGATAACAAACAAGGTAATAAATCCCTTCCAGAATTTTTGCTACCTATAGAGGAATTATCAACGGATTTCGTGAATTGCAGCCTCTCTCTACAGATTTAGAAACCCAAAAATGTCAATGGAAAAATCTCTTTGTTTGTGGGTTTCTTATGAATTTGACTGACCAATACAGTACTCTTAGAAGACAACTACTTGGAGAAAGTATCATGCCCACTCTTCAAGCAGCATTTTCTCGATTGCAATCAGCCTCTTTAACTGTATCATCTCCATCTGTTACCATTGAACATTCGATAATGATTGTACAGGGGGTGAGTACAATAACGGTAAGAAAAGAGGACGTGGTAGAAAATGTGGTTTTTGTGGCAAAACAAATCATGTTAAAGATGCATGTTGGGATAAACATGGTAAACTTGAATGGGCTACCAAACGTACGAAAAGGCACAACACTCCTAAAGAAGCTACTATTATTTTCCTTTCAGCTGGTTCCGTTTCTTCAGTTGGATCTAAGGATGCTATTAAGATTTCTAAACTGGAGTAAACGGTTAATTCACTCACAACCTAATTCCACTGCCTCTCATACTCTCCCAAAATGTACAGCTGTACTGGCAACTCTTTCTGGTAATTCTTGGTTAATAGAATCTGTTCTATAAAATCACATGATTGGTGATCAACTTCAATTTCATAATTTTACTCCATGTCCATCTTTATCACCAATTATTGTTGCCGACGGGTCTGCTTCTATCGCTGGTTTTGGTACTGTTCATACCCATTATCTTGCTCTTAATAAAGTCTTACATGTTCCTAAATTATCCTTTAATCTTGTTTCAGTAAATCAAAAAAAAGCTTTAAATTGTTCAGTAGCCTTTTTTCCCACCCATTGTACATTTCAGGATCTTCAGACGAATATATTGATTTTACACGGGTCTGAATCAGGAGGAGTTTATTATCTTAATTCTTCTGTTGCTGGTGGTGTGTCCCCTTATGATTGGCATTGTCGTTTAGGACATCCTAGTTTTTCCAAACTAAAAAAAATAGTACCTTTTGTTAAGTCTTCCTCTTTAATAATTTGTGATGCATGTCAGTTAGGAAAACATCTAAGAGCGTTATTTCCGCCTAAAGAGAGTCGAAGTTTAAGTCCTTTTGATCTAGTTCACTCTTATATATGATGGCCTTGTCGTTATCCTACTTTATCTGGTCATATGTATTTTATTACTTTTGTGGATGATTATTCTCGAACGACTTGGATTTATTTGTTAAAAGAAAGATCTTTTGCTATTGATATATTTCAAGCCTTTTATAATGAAATAAAAACTCAATTTTCTACCAATATTCGTGTTTTACGATCTTATAATGTTTTGGAATATATGAAAATTGACACCTCAAATTTTTGTTCTTCTTATGGTATGATTCACCAAACATCTTGTGCTCGTACACCCCAACAAAATGGTGTCGCTGGACATAAAAACAGACACATTCTAGATGCTGCTCGTACTATTATGATTCAAAAGAATCTTTCCAAATACCTTTGGAGTGATGTTTTTCTTACTACTGGATTTCTCATTAATCGGATGACATCTTCTACTCTTGGAGGTGACATTCCTTTTCATTATATTTTTCCAAATTCTTCCCCCTTTTCTCTAACTCCTCAGATTTTTGGGTGTGTTTGCTTTTTCACTTATTTGAAACTGGTATGGATAAACTATCTCCTAGAGTTGTCCGTTGTATTTTCTAGGGTTACTCCTGAAATCAAAAAGGTTACAAATGTTATGATTCCGTGTCAAAAAGAAAATTTGTTTCAGCTGATGTCACTTTTTTTGAGTCAGAATCATATTTTTAAATATCTAAAGTCAAAGAGTCAATCCCCCTCCCTACCACCATAACACCACCTCCCATAAAACCTTTACAAGTTTATACAAGAAGAAATAAGATATAAATTCCTGCTGTCTTACAACCAACTCCTTCAATGCATTCTACTGATAATCCTGATAATTTACCAATAGCTCTCTAAAAGGGTAAACATTCTTGTACCCATATTCTATTGGTAACGTTGTTTCCTTTAATCATCTTGGTTCTGATTTTCGACGTTTAGCTTTATCCTTTTCATCTATATCTATTCCTAAGAATTTTGCAGAGGCAGTTCAAGATTTTCATTGGAAACAAACTATGGATGAGGAGATATCAACTCTTCTCAGTAGTCACACATAGGATTTGGTATCTTTACCTAATGGAGTTTCACATGTTGCCTGTCGTTGGGTTTTATATTCAAATAAAATCCTAATGGCGCTATTGATCGATATAAAGCCTGACTAGTTGCCAAAGGATACACGCAGACATCAGGCATCGACTTTTTTGAAACTTTTTCACCTGTTGCTACGCTGAACTCTATTCGTGTTCTCATCTCAGTAGTAGTTAATTGTGATTGGCCACTATATCAACTAGATATCAAGAATGCATTTCTTTATGGAGACTTGAATGAAGACGTTTATATGGAGCAACCACTGGCTTTGTTGCTCAGGGGGAGTCAAACATGGTATGTAAGCTCAACAAAGCTATTTATGGATTAAAGCAGAGTCCCAGAGCTTGGTTTGATAAATTCAGTAAAGTTGTTTTTGCAGCAGGATTCAAGCGAAGTCAAGTTGATCATTCGGTTTTTGTGAAACGTAGTTCATTGGGAATTATAATACTTATTGTTTATGTCGATGATATACTATTATCAGGTTGTGATGTAATTGGAATTGAAGAAACCAAAAAAACGCTTGCAACAACAATTTGTCACCAAAGATCTTGGTCAGTTAAGATACTTTCTTGGTATTGAAGTTGCTCGTGGTAAAGAAAGTGTTGTTTTGTCTCAAACAAAGTATGCAACTGATCTATTACAAGAAACATGACTTGGTGCAAAACCATTAGATATATCGATGGACCCTAATCTTGATTTTTGGAAAGAGGTGACAACTTTGAAGACTATGGGCAATAAGAAGACACTCATTTACATAAAAGTTACTAGACCGGATATTATGCATGCCGTTGGGTTCATTAGTCAATTTATGGACAAGCCTAGGAGAGGTCATTGGGAGGCTGATTGCAACATTTTAAGGTATATAAAAAAATCTATATGAAAAAGGGTTATGGTTCTAAAATAACAATAATGTAAAATTAATTGGCTATTCTGATAATAGCTATGCTGGTGACAAGAGTGATAGAAAATCTACATCTGGTTATTGTAAGTTTGTGGGTGGAAATCTAGTAACATGGAAGAGTAAAAAACAAACAGTTGTATCAAGATCTAGTGCTGAAGCAGAATATCATGCCATGGCTCAAACAACATAGGAGTTGTTTTGGTTAAAAGCTCTCCTCAAAGATTTCATAATCACCTATTCAGATCCTATTCCTATGCATTGTGATAATCATGCTACAATCCATATTGCAAGCACTCATGCTTTTCACGAACGGACTAAGCACATTGAAGATGATTGTCATTTTGTGAGAAATGTTGTTACTAATAAGAAGATCTATACTCCCTTTACACCTTCAAGAGTTCAAATTGTAGATATGTTCACTAAATCCCTTAAGAAGTAAGATTTTCACAGATTAAGTGACAACTTTGCATAATAGACATCTATGCTTCAACTTGAGGTGGAGTGTTAGTTGACTTACCATATTTGGTTTTGTCTATATTTAATATTGACATATTATTGTCAATATGTTTTCCATTTTTATTGTATTTATTGTATAGTTTACTTCCCTTTATTCTTTAGAATTCTTTGTGTATATAGGTCTCTAAAATTGTAACCTAGAGTGTGAAATACAAGAGATTATTTTTTACTGTTATGTTATTCTACAGAAACATTTGCATAGAAGTGTTCTTGGTTGTGATCATCAATTCAAGGAGAGAAAACAAGCATTATCCAACTATTCAAGATTCATAATGTGGAAGGGTACAAAGACTAAAGTTAGCGTAACTTACCTAATTGAAGGACTTCAAAATGAACATCTCTTCATCGTCTAACATGAAGATTCATTGAAACTAGTTGAAGAGTTAAGCACCACTTCTGATGATTCATGTAAAGAAAGTAGAGAGACAAACCTTTTCTTCAATGATATTGATGTTTCAACATTAGGAAGAGTCCAATGGGAAGTTAAAGAACGTGAGGACACCTAAGGTTGCAATAAAGAAGTTCAAGCAACAAGTCTTTTCATCGAGAGTCATTTTTCCAAAGAAGACTTACCAAGAAACTTGTGTACACTCGAAACGATCCAACCACTCAACAAAGGATACAAAGAAATTATGTATACCCTAATAGGCATGATGATCTACATTACATCATCTTTCTTACACCAATGGTAATCAATGAATCAGGCTGACAAAGGCTTTTGATTTGAAGAAAAATCGCTCTAAAGAAGGGGGGATGATGTGATCATGCCTACGACCAAACTTCTTCAGCACATGATCACTCCATGGACGTTCTGCCTTACTGAATTTAAGGGAGTCTTACCTTATTTCATCACTTATCTACTTATTTATGCATTACATGTCACGTAAATATGCTTAGTTTATTTTAGACTATGCTTGAATGTTATATGTTGTCATTTATATGTATTAATTTATGAAATTCATGCATTACTTATTCATTTACATCTTTACTTAGCTCAATTCATGCATACCTATCTTATACTAGCTTATATAATGCTTATGCCATGTTTTGCATTTAATCCTAGCTCATTTTCATTCATAACCTACACGACATCAAGCATTCATTATTATCCTAACTCAATTCTTATCTAATTTCTTGTTTTATGCTTTTGTATAGGTACATTGGAAGCTAAGACAACTTGTGGTAGCTCGTGGATTGAAAATACAAGCTTTAGTTCATAAAGATGTTATGTTAGCTCACTTAGCTAAAGGGAGCTTAATGGAGCTCAAATATTAGATGAATGAGCTTAAGTGAAGTTAAAACTTAGCTGGAGAGCAGCTGGAAAGGCTAAAAGGAGCTTAACACATTCAAGGTGCACAATGTGAACACATTAAATCCATGGACAATTCATTTCAATCAGATTACAAGCCATTTTGAGCTGGTTCCAAGTATCTTTGGGTTATGAAGCTTGACATTTAATACCCTATTTCTTATCATTCCAACGCACTTTGAATTACATCAATTTGACATCATGAGCTCAAGATATGACCATATTACTGAAGATAGTGCATGCTAGAAACTCATACGGGATTTGCAACCATTCATCTCCTTCAAAGAACTTTTGCATGGGAGGTATTAATGGAGACATGCATGGACCATAAAAGACTATTCAAATGAATTAGTATATTTATGAGTAGGTTTAAGGTTTTATACAAAGGCTTTTTGGTTCATATTCATGCATATTCATGCAAGAAGCCAACTGGTCTTGATCACACAATGGGAGATGAATTTCAACCAATATACATTCATCCAAAGGAGACAAATCAACATGTTCACACATGGGAGGAAGAATTCTTCCATGAGATACATTCATTAAGATTTATTCATTTAATTCTTCATACATTCATGATAGGTTGTGCAATGTACTTACTTAGAGAATGAACATTCATGGATGAATGTTCATTCATTAAAGCCTTGTATTCACACCATGTGTGCACTGTATCCTAGGCATCCTTAGCCTTATAAATAACTTAAACATTTCATTTTGTAATGAACCAATTGACTTTGTTTAATCAAATATTTGTGAGAGTTTCTCTCTTTAGTTCTTAAATGAACTTTATCGACTTATCAAGCTTATGTTTGCAGTGTCACACCATCTATTTCCACCCTGATACTTGGGATTCCTATATTCATTATAGATAGCGGGTCCAAGTTCATTTATACCACTCCTTAAAGAAGTATATAAATTCTAGGCCTTTGTTTTTTTTATCATTGGTTCTTCTTTGAGTCTTCTTTGATATACTACTTTCAAAATCCATCACCATACTACATCTTTTAAACATTATCAAATCTATCATCTACATATCAAAAACTTTTGCAAACAATTCTTTTTTTAATTATTATATTCATTTCTATACTTTCATTTAACGATTCTATTTGAGCTTTCTTGCTTGTGCATGATTCTTGTTGTCTTCCTAGATCGAAACAATCAAAGGGAAACTTTATCTTCAACAACATTATCCGTTGGAGCTAGGATGACCTCTCATGTCATGCCAAATCAATCATTTCAAACTTAGTGGATACTTTTTTTGTCTCTTTAATGTCTTTTAGGTGTGTACTAAAAACCAATAAGTCATCTAAATGCAGACTTATGTAACATAGTTAGATCCAAACATTTTAGAATGCACACATGTATCTGCACCATTAACTATAAAACCATAACTGAGAATAATTTTATGAAACTTCTCATGCCATTGTTTTGGAGCTTGTTTGAGACCATATAAAGATTTTTTGAGTCTGTAAAAATTTATTTTATTTCCCTTATACCACGAATCCTAGAGGTTGCTCCATGTAATTCTTCTCATCAAAATAACCATTCAGAAAGGTCATCTTCACATCCATCTGTTGTATCAACAAGTTGTGAATAGATTCTAAATCAAATAAAACACGAATAATAGATATTTTAGTAATAGGATAATATGTATCAAGAAAGCCAATCCCAAACTTTTGAGAAAAAACTTTTACGACTAGTCTTGCCTTATATCTTTGTATTTATCCATCCAGTCTAAACTTTTTTTCTAAAGACCCATTTATTACTTATAGGTTTACAACCTTTAAGCAAGTCTACTAACTACCAAGTATGATTAGATAAAATGGATTCTAACTCATCTTTAATAGCATCTATCCCAAAACTAGCATCAATAGAACTAATAACGTCATCATATGTTTTTGGATCTTCATCTATTAAAAATGAATTTGTTATAGCATCATTAATTAAGTGTAAAACATTAAAATCAATTATGAAAGAAGTAAGGAAGTCAGGTCTGAAACTAGTTGCTAGCGTTTATCTTTTACTCCTTATAGGCTTATCATTATTTTGATCATCTCTAGAAGTTTTCTTAGAAGAAGAAATATTCTCATCTAATTTCAAGTCATGATTACTTTTCTTTTTAAGAGGAAAACATTTTTAAAGAATAATGTATTTTTGTATTCACATATTGAATAATCATGAAAGAGAACAAGTCTGTAAGCATCACTATTTAATGCATAACCAATAAACACAACATCAATAGTTTTAGATCTAATAGAGTTCTTTTTTAAAAACAGGCAACCCTACTTTCGTTGGGCACCCCTACACTTTCAGATAATCTAAATTAGGAGCATGACCTTTCTACAGCTCATATGGGGTACAATCTAACATTTTATGAGGCACTCTATTAAGAATATGATTAGCAGAAAGTATATATTCCCCCCACATATTATCCGATAAACCAGAGTTAAGCAAAAGAACATTCATCATTTATTTTAAACTTCTATTTTTTCTTTCAACTATATCATTTTCTTTTAAAGTTCTATTCTTTATTTCTCACGAGTTTCTTTAAAAAGATTAGTCATATATTTTCCTCCCTTATCGGATCTAATTCTTTTTATTCTTTTATCAAGTTGGTTTTCTACTTCTAGTTTATACACTGAAAAGACTTTTTCATCTTCATCTTTAGACCTCAAGAGATAAACTTTAGAAAATCTAGAGTTGTCATCAACAAAAGTGATATAATATCTTCTTCTACCTTTGCTCTCTGTATTTCTAAAGGCTACCAAATTTGTATGAACTAACTCTAAAAGTTCAAATTGTCTAGAAGAAACAAATTTGAAGGGAGGTCTAGCATGTTTTACTTCAACACATATTTCACATTTATTAAAGCTGGCTTCATCTAGATTAGGAAACATGTTCATTTGTTTTAAACTTTTTAAAGAGTAAAGGTTCACATGACCTAATCTAGCATGCCACATATCATAAGTTTCAACGGTATAAGAAAAAGTAGATGTTTTATTCATAATATTATCCATAGTTTCAATCATAAAGAGCCCCCCCCCCCACATAAATAGTGTTTCCTCACATAATCACCATTACAAGATAATACAAGCTTATCAGATTCAAATACTAATTTAATTCCCACCTTATTCAAGAGTCCACCACTAATAATATTTCTACGTAACGCATAAACATACAAAACATTATGCAAAGCAAGAGTTTTTCCAGAAGTAAGTTTAAGTAAAATATTTCCTTTATCGAGTACTTCTGAACTGTTGGAGTTTCCCTCATAGAGTGTTCACCTTTATCTACATCTTTAAAATAAATGAACATTTCATTATTGGTACAGAAGCGTTTGGAAGCGTCAACGTCCACTACCCACT